CCTCACATAGTCACAAATTTTTTTCTTGTGATGAGAACTTTTAAAATCTACTCCTTTAGCAATTTTCAAATACACAACACAGTATTGTTAACTATAGCCACCATGCTGTACATTACACCCCCAGGACTTATTTATCTTCTGTCTGGAAGTTTGTAACTTTTGACCACTTTCACCCATTTCGCCCACCCCGCACTGGGTGCATTTGTAAATGTTTATTGGGGTATGGAGTGGAGCTCCGGCTGATGCAGTTCCAAAAACAGCCCTGCGTGATGGGCAAGGCATGCAGTGCACCAGCTTAGGAGTTCCCAAGTAAAAGTTTATTTTTCTATCATTCAGTGTAATCTTGGCCAAACCCTCGTTTCTCATCTCAGTCCGTTTGGCATCCACACCCCTCCCTGCACCCAGGGGGCTCACCCTTGTCTCAGGCTGTTTCCCCATCCATGGCAGAGGCTAGCGGGGTAGCTGGTCCTTCCAAGGCTCCTCTGATGCTCCAGACCCACACTCTGCGACTCAAACACTTTCTTCTTTCAACGTTACTGATCCTCACTGATGCACCGTGAATTTCACAGGCATGCGTTGAAACTCAGGGGCTGCCTCTCGTCCTGTGCCCGGGAGCACTGTGACTTTCATGAGCCTCAGACACTTTTGATTGGCATGGGTCAAGATATTGAAACTTTTACTTTACAACTTATATATATGCTTTGGTATAAAGACAAATGCAATCCAGGCTGGATTCATTGTTACATACTCACTACTATTACATCATTTTTTTCTTCTGATTCTAAAAGAAATGAAACCATTTTTGTGGGTCCTTAAAAATATGCGGGCAGGAATACTCTATTCCACTGCCCACGTGGGTGAGGGGCACAGGAAGTTCAGGGTGGGAAGGAGACCCATATGCTAACACGTCAAAATGTCAACCCACTGCATTTCCAGCACCCAAGTCTGCCCGTGTTGCCCCTCCCCTCAAACCCTGCCCAGGAAAACATCCAGGCCCTCCCCATGGTCAAGGTCTTTCATTGGCTGATTCTTATCTGCTTTTCCAGTCTCACACACCATAAGCCTCCTACACGTCTCCTTTGGATGTTTCCAGAACACCTCAGCCTTCATCACACCTGCACACTTTGGCTCAGGCTGCTCCCTCCACTGGGAGCATTCCCTTCCCACCTGGACCACATCGTGCACACCTGTGCATCCTTCCAGACCCGGCTCAAAGGTCACTTCACTGTGAAGATCCAGAGCCGCCTCCCTCCCTATATTCCTCATTCATTTCTCTGCTCTAGCACTTACCCTCTTACGTCCATCTCTCCCCTTCACCTGTGAACCCCTGGAGGGTGGGGCCCACAGCTGGTTTTTCTCTGGATCCCCAGTGCCCACCACAGGGCCTAGCACACAGCAGGTACACAATGAATGCTGAATACATAGCAGATGACTGAGCTTCTGAGTGAATGAGTGAATGAATGAATGAGGGAGATAGGAAATGAGGGCAGTGGTCTGCTCAGCAAAGGGGTCCCCTCCATAGCCCTCTACAGAGGGAGGGTCTGGACTGATGGTGGAGCCAGGGCTGAGCTCCCCTACAGGCCCCGCCCTCTGACTCACCCCCTCCCCAGAGACTGGTTTCTGGGAATGTGCTGGAAGCTTGGCTCGCCTCCCTGGCTGAATCCTCCATGTCAACCATCATCTGCCCCAGGAGTCCCCATGCTCTGAGGCCACAGGGCCAGGGAAGGGGCAGCGCAGAGGGAAGGCCCTCACGTGTCAGCGGGACGAGAGTGGGAGGCAGCAGCCTGAGACCCGCCCGGCACCCCCCACGGAGCCTCCTCCCTTTGTCTGAAGAGGAGCGCGCTGCAGGAGGCCCGACACGTCACGGGAGTCTCAGGGAAAAGGGGGTGACAGCACTGGTTGTCATGAGAACCAAATGAGAAAACTATGTGGGTGCCCGGAGTCCAGGTGGCATCTAGGGGTGCTAAAGGATGTCATCTGGGGTGCAACCTGGAGAAATTGTCACTCTTTGGGATGCCCAGCACCTGAACCCCCTTCCTCTGTCCAGGGCCCTCCTCTCTCTCCCCAATTCCATCTTCTGAGGTGGGCCCCCAGCACAGACGCTGGCAACACTGTCACTGGCTTTCCCAGCCTCTTGTGAGGGGGGCACACAGCAGTGCAGGGGCTGGAGCAGCAGCACCCGGTGTCCAGTGTCGGCGCGAGATGAGGGGCCTGTGGCCAGGGCTGGCGGCAGGGGTGTCTGCACCAAGCCACTTCCGGCGTGTGATGTAGGGCGTTGTTCCTGGCTGGGTGTAGCCTTTGGGCCTGGTTCTCCAGCCCTCCCAGAGAATCGGTGACACATTCGATAGCCTTCTAACGAACCTCGTTCTGTTTAAATTAGTCAGAGCTGGTTTCTGTTGTTTGGAACCAGAAACCAGGGCAGTGTGACCCAAAAAATCTAATGGGATTGTGAGTGGCATCGTTAAAGGTCTAGTGCCCAGAAGAAAGGAGGGTTTGGTCCGTGCATGTCTGCTCTGTGCAGCACAGAGCACAGGAGGGAGGCCCAGCCCTGCTCTGGAAGCTCAACTCCAGAAGGGCCCATGACACAGTGGAGGCTCTCTAGGGGACAATGACCTGGTCAGTGTGGGGTCTACAGCTCATGGCAGGGGAGGGAGCTGGGCTTGCAGCTGAGTGGGCTGAAGGCGCTGGGGAGAATAGCCATGGTTTCGGCCCTAAGGGCCACTCCAGCAGCTCGGAGGGGTGGGCGCCAGGCCTTGCTCACAGCGGGGATAGTCTGAAGACAGACAGCACTGCCTTGGGAGGAGGTAAGCTCCCTGGCACTGGAGGTGAGCAAGGACTGGGTCCTGAAGCGGACAAAAGCAGCCCAGCTGGGGCTTCCAGGCTCGGCCTCGGGGTGTGTGTCTCCACACTAGGTGAAGGGATTAGCCTTGAGCAACACCCAAACACTGGACCTGACAGAGGCCCTTCTGCCCACCACCCAGGCCTCCATAACAGGCTGCAGTGGGCGGAGGGAGCCCCCAGGCTACCAAGAAGCCAGCCAAGCTTTTCTCACTCCCAGGTGGCCTGCCCAAACCTAAGGGTGGGCATGGGAGGGGCACAAGCCTGAAGGATGACAAGGCAGAGGGGGCAAATCTCAGTAGCCAAGGGTGGCTGGTAATGGCCCTGATAAACCACCTAAAAAAACAGCCCTAAGTACCCTGAGAAGCCATTCTTTTCCCACTGATCACTTAGACAAGATCACAGATTGACAAGGGGCATGCTGGTGAGGACATGGGAGAGCTGGCACTCTCTCAGATGTTGGTGGCCGTGTTCACTGGAACAACCACTGATGCAGGAAATTTGGCAAATCCTATGGAAGTCCCACAGGTACGTGTCATCTGGCCAGGGATTCCATTTCTAGGAATTTATCCTTGGCTACATTCGCTCACATGCAAAACGATGTGTGAGTCATGCTATTGTTTGGTGAAAGCAAACGATGGCAACAACCTGCCCATCCACGAACAGGGGATCCAGAACAGGGGATCCATCAAACAGATGACGGTACATCCACACAATGGAAACTGGGCATGTGGCAAAGACAATGAGCGTGCTTTTTACGTATGGATATGCACTGCTCTCCAAGACAAAAGAAGTGAAACTACAAATGTAACCAGTAAGCTGCTATTCGTGTACAAAAGAAAAAAATATATGTCTGCTGATGCATTGTAGGCAGAGATGTCTCCAGAAGGATGTACAAGAAACCGGAAATAGTGGATGCCTCGGGGGAGGGAATTTGTGTGACTGAGAGGAAAGAGAGACTGATTTCATTGAAAGCATCGTAAACTTTCTCTATCTTTTGAATTTGGTAAAGCGTGCATGTAGTGTATAAATAACAAAACAGTAAAAGAAAACAACGTAACAGAAAATAGAACCTGTGCTAGGTGCCGGCACCATGTCTCCCGGAACATTTGGCAGGTGTCACTGCTCCCTCTTTGCAGGTGATGAAATGCAACCAGCTCAGAGAAGGTCAGACAGCGGCCCAGCGTCAGGCAGGAGGGAGCAGTGGAGCTGGGCCTGGGACCCAAGTCTGCAGCCATGCTTGGGGCAATGTCCTCCGGGGGAGCCAGCTGTCCAGGGCCAGCTGCCGCTGTGCCAGCCCCAGGACTGTGCCCTCTAGATCTGGGAGGGAACCACGAGGGGGACAATTCTAGAAACTCAGCTCGGGACACTGAGTCTGGGAGAAGGATCGTGCCCCAGTGGAAAGGCTCGCGGTCACGCAGTACCGGGGAGGTCAAGCCTAGCCCGGCCTGGGGCCAGCTGTGTGCCCTTCAGCAAGGAATTTTCCCTCTGTGAACCTGAGGGCCTCCTCCAGGTTCCCACTGCGGGGGATGTCGGAGGTGAAAGTGAGGTGACAACTGAGAAAGCCCCCTCCTCCCAAGCAGGTTCTCAAATATAATCCAGGTCTTTCAGATTCCTGTGCCGGGTCTCCAAACCTCCAGGCTGCTCTCCTTCTGGGTCCAGGCGGCTCTAACACAAACACTCATATTGTTTGCTAAGTCCGTCCTATTGTCCATTCGCTCGACTTACACCTACACAGGGCCTCCCACGCGGCAGGCTCCAGTGGCCGGGGCGGTCCTCGCACAAACCCCGCCCGCGTGTCCCCGCACTTGCCCACGCCGAGCACAAACTCGGACGCACAGCGCCCGCGCCCCTGGGTGCTGGCACTCGGACCACGCCCGCCGCCCACACGTGCCCAGGCCGCAGGCCACCGGCGTCTCCACCAGCCCGGAGGGGCGCCAGCTCATCCCCGGGCGCCCGGCCCCTCCCTCGGGAGGCCAATGAGCGCCGCGGCCCAGGCCGGCCCCGCCCACCCCGGGGAGCCCCGGCCGCCGATTGGCCCGCCCGGGCGCAATGTCCCCCACAGGTGGGGCGGGGGCCGGGGTGAATGAAGTGGCAGCGATGCCCCCGCCCCCCCTCGCCGCCTCGGCCCGGCGAGGCCCGCCCCCCGCGGCGCTCAGTCCAGAACCCGCCCGCCCTCCGGCGATCCGCTGCACCAGACCCTGGCGTCCGGCTCCCCGGGCCGGGACCCCGCGTCGCGGACCCGCGATGGCCAAGCGCAGCTCGCTGTCCATCCGCATCGTGGAGGGGAAGAACCTGCCCGCCAAGGACATGTGAGTGCGGCCGGGGGTGGGAGCCCCAACTTTCCGGGGAGGGGCGCTGCCCCTGACGCCTGACCTTTTTGGGGTCCACACGGCCCGCCCGCAAGTAGAGCAGCGGTGAGGGTGTGGCGAGTGTGGCCGCAGTGGGAGACTGGTAGGGAAATGGGGACAGTGAGATTTGCTGGGAGCCCCGGAAGAGGGTGACAGGGAAGGGCCGGGGACTGAGGAGGGGGCGGGGATCTGTAAGGGGCATTAGTGAGCGGGGAGGGAGAGAACGGCGGCTCAGGGGGGAAGAGGCCTTGATAGGACGGGAGCTGGGCGTGGGGGAGACATCAGAGGGGAGACGTCTCGGTCAACTGCCGGGGGTGTGGCTGGAGGGGGTGAGGTGCCCCCCCTAGAAACAGGGGTCTTCCTCAGTAGTTCTGGAACCCTTGGTACCTGGGAGTGTGCACCTGAAACATGCCCTGGGGCCCAGGGGCTGTCCCGGGGCTTCCTGCTGTGCACTTGGAAAGGAGGGACTGACCTGCAGAGCGGACTTATAGGTCAGGGGGCCAGGACCGGTGCAAGAGGGGCTGGCTGGGTAGTAGATGTTGCTTGTGCCCTCAGCTTTACCCAAGCTGTCACCTTTAATCCTCACAACCACCCAGCAAGGCAGTTTTCATCATTCTGTGTTACGGAGGAGGAAACTGAGGCTCAGACACGTGAAATGCTGGTTCTAAGTGGCAGAGCAAGGTCTTGAGTGTAGGGCTCCTAATAAGTGCTGATGCCTAAGGGTTTTCCCTGGTCCCTGGCCAGATTTGGGGTTCCGGAGCCCCTTGTCCCAGTCTTCTCAGTAGAAGTAATCCCCTGCCTGATTCAATCCCTGGCTCCCTCCGATGCAGCCTTAGGCAGCTCCCTGTCCCCGAAGCCCCAGCCCCTTCTTCTGTAAGCTGGAGATCGAAATCCCTCTCAGATATGAGCGGTGGAAAGCACAAAGCTGGAGGGGGCGCTGGCTGCCTGGAGGAGGGGGAAGGGGAGCCTGGAGGCAGCATAGGGTCCAAAGTCCGCTGGGCTCCTCAGCGGGCTCCTGGATGCAGAGAGGTGGCAAGCTGGAGAGGGGGGTGCAGGAGGCTGGGGTGTGGACAGTGGCCCCTGTGAGTTTCCCTGCTCCCTCAGTGCCTTGAGCAGTTCCAGTTCAAGGCCCCCTGGGCCTGATGAGGCGGGGCTCAACAGTTACCATGGCAATGGGTGGGGGGGTGGGCTGGACTCTCAAGGTGGGTTTCTTGGGGGAGGCGGGGGGGGGGGGGGGTGAGGCAGGGCAGGAGTTGGGAATGTGGTCCTTGGGTGGGAAGGCAGATGAGCTCTGAGAAGGGTCTCAGTCTCCAGGCCCAGCCTCTAAGAACCCCCCACACTGGCACGGTAACTAGGTCAGCTTGGCCTCCTCTGGCTGGTGGCGGCTGGGAGGAGCAGCCCCTCCATCTGTCGCCTCCCTCCCCATCCGTCAGTGCTGGCCCTAGTGCCTGGCTCCAGGCTCTCACCAGCCCAGGGCGGTGAAGCTGTGGACTGTGTCCACCTGGGAGCCGAGGTGCCGGTTCCCTGCCCAGCCTTGCCTCTGCACAGCTGAGGGACTCTGGGCAAGGTGCCCCTATCCCCAGGAGGGGCCACCAAGTCCTGTTGGTTCTGACTCTGGAATCTCTTTCCTTGTCCGGCCCCTCTGCCTTCCCCATAGTGGCCGGTGTACACATCTCTGACCTGTCAACCGTCTCTTAAATCCAGCTGTGACCTCCCCCAGCTGCTCACATTTGCTGCCCTTCCCAGCCTTGCTTTTGCACATGTTAGAGGACTTCTGCCTTCAAGCACTCCCCTTCAGAGTCCCCCAGAAAACTCCTATTCATCCTTCAGGACCCCTCTCAAACTTCTGTTCCTCTCCAGGGCTTTCCCTGGTGCCCTCAGGCAGGGTTCGTTGCCCCTGTCTTGTGCCTTCCAGCACTTTGGGGCAGCTGAAGTTAGGACGAAGCCCTGGGTAGCAGTCGCTCCTTCCTGGGCTGCCTGTGTCGTGTGACTGCGAGGGTAGGAACCATGACTCATTCGTCTTGGCATTCTGGGTGCCCTGAGGGACACCTGGTCCATGGTAGGGGAGAAGAAGGGTGTTGAGGAGCTTCACATTTACTCCTCTTATTAGCCCTGTAAAGTAGATATGCTCAGTTTGTAAATGGGAAAAGTGAGGCTAGCTGGACCGCAGTTGCAAGCTTGCCGCGGGGCTCAGCGGGGACTGACCCTCACAAATGCCATGCAAAACATTTGGCTGCAGGGATGGCAGGGGTTTGGAGATCACAGGAGGCCCCCACTGAGTGCTGGAGGCAGGGGTGGTGGTGAGCCTGCTTCAGTGTACCTCATTAGCCCCGAGCTTGTCTTCTGAGCAGCATCCCTTCCAGACAGAGCTGGCACACTTCTGAGGACAGGGAGCTCACCACCTCTCATAGTGGCCCATCTTGACTGAGACAGTTCTGAGGAGGGAGCCCTTCTCACACAGCTGCCATCTGGCTCCCTGCCACCTCCACTCTGGGGTTTTAGTCCTCCTCAGGGCTCAGAGCACAGCTGTGCTCCCCGTCATCAGCAGCTCTCAGAGCCCTCCTGCTGCTGCCACCCTTCCTCCCACCGTCTCCCACCCCTCAGTGCCTGGGTCAGCCAGACAGAAGCTGAGTCTCATGGTGACTGGTCACCCACTGTGTCCCACACCCAGTGGCCCTCGGGACAGCCCTGGGGCTATTTCAGGGTTTGCTCTGATCCCCTCCCCCTTCCACAGCCTGGAAACTGCCAAGGCCCTAAATATAGAGGCCCTGCAAGTAGCCAGGCTGGGTCAGCGGCGGCCAGTGGCTTGGGGAAGGAGAAGTGGGAGAGAGGACCAGCCCATGGGCCTCACCAGGGCGGACGGCACTGGGCAGGGCATAGGTCCCAACAGCTGGCCAGGGACCATGGTCGGGCTCAGGTCCTGAAGTCTGGCCTCAGCCCACTCTTGACACTGTCCCCTCCACGCCCCTCTGATCCAGCCCCCAGCTCACAGCTGCCCCTGCAGACCTGGGTCTGTTCCTGCCTCTGGGCCTTTGCCCACCCTCTGCCTGCCGGATGAGTCCCAAACCTCACTGTTCATTCATGCATTCAGCCCTTGAGTGACAGCTGAGCAGTGGCAGTGCTGGGCTCGCAGGGATAAACAAGAGGTTCTCTGCCCCCAGGAACCCGCAGGGCCCCCAGACCAGGAGGCAGACACAGGGCAGGTGGGGGGCAGCCCACAGTGGCCTCAGCCCTCACTGGCCTCTCCTTCCTTCCTCCGAGCTCCTTGTTCAAATATACTTGCAGCTTCTGGGCCCTGCTGCCCACAGGGGCACAAGGGGACCTGTTACTTGAGGCCTGGAGTCCCGTGGCCTTTAGGGTGGTGGGGTACAAGCGGGGGTGTTCCCAAGACGCTGTCTGGAGGAGGGGGCTCTTGAGTGATGGGGGAGGGGGTTACAGTCAGAGGAGCAAGGGGTCTCGGGCGGTGCTAACATTTACTCAACACCTCCCATGGCTGGCCCTCACCTCGTGTCAGGGCCCCAGGGCAGCTGCCCAGTGAGCTGGCATTACGCTCTACACTGTGGGAAACTGAGTCTTGGCAGACATTTCCCATCTGCGTTGCGAGAGCCTTTGGAGACATTTGTCTCCAGTGGCTTCTTCTGCCAGAAGAGCCCCATTTGAGAGGGGAAGTGAGGCTTGGAATTCCCCAGCCTCCAGCAGGCAAATACACTTCCTTTTTACGGACGCCAGGCGTGAAGGGCACTCCTGGAGACAGTCTTCGCCCCTCTTCTTGCCGAGCGCCAGCCCTGGACCTGGCTGCCCTCAACCCAGCAATCCCCCACGGACCCGAGACGGGGGGACTGAGCAGTCCCGGTTTGCTGTCTTCCTTCTTTCCCAGACAGCTGGGAGCTCGAGGGCAGACTGTTATATGTGTTCATTCATTCACCCATTCATTCAACAAACACTAACAGGACCCCTGTCTTGTGCCGAGCCCCGTCCTAGGCCCTGGGGACACAGAAGTGGTCCCCACCCTCCGGCCACTCATAGTCATGTGGGGGAGGTAGCTGATGACAGTATATCTCTAGCTATACTGGGATGGAGGGAGACATAATGGGGACGGGGCAGGCAGTGGGATCTCAGACGAGGCGTCACTCCCTGCCTCTGGGACAGGGGAGGGCTGGAGAGGAGGGGCTGAGGCCGGGAGGAGAGTCAGGGCAGTCCGGGAGGGAGGAAGAGCAGGAGCAGAGGCTCAGAGGAGAGGCAGGGGCTGACTTGGTGTTGAGGGGAGGGTTGTGGGGAGCTGGCCTGGGGCTGTCTGTCCTCCCCCGCCTGGGGTGGGAGGAAGGAGAAGCGTCCTTTCCTGAGCAGGAGGTGCAGTGAGCACAAGAGCGCTGGGGCAGGTTCCTGTCTTTCCCTCACCACCGCCTCCTGGGCTGAGGGTGGGGGCCCATGTTTTGGCCTGAGGAGCCTTTGGGCCCTAGCCCAGGACCCAGGGCCTGAGCCTCGACTGTCTTTTTCCTGGGGTCACTAAGGGCCCCTGGTGGAGGGAGGGGAGCTGCCTGGGAGGCCCCGCCTCCAGCTCCGCCCCTCCCGGCCCGTGTGTATCTTGCAGCACCGGCAGCAGCGACCCCTACTGCATCGTGAAGGTGGACAATGAGCCCATCATCAGGTACCCCCCACCCCCACCCCTCCCCCAGCACGCTGTCCACCCCGCGGCCCATTCCAGCACACGCGCCTGCGAGGGCTGTGCAGTTTGTAGGGAGATGGGCATCTGATCCCCTGGGCCCACACGCCCTGACACACCTGCTAGGAGGTGAGAAAGGCCAACCTGTAACTTGTCCTGCTAATTGCTGACCTTGATGCCCGTCCAGGGATTATCTGCTGTGGGCCGGGCACTTGGCCAGGGGCCTCTCACTGGCTCTGTTCCTCCTTACATCCCCCAGAGGGCCAGATGACGATGATGACGATCAGTAACAACAGCTGTGGCTGCTGGAGAACTGTCTCCACCAGGCCCTGTGCTAAATGAGTCCAGCCACTTAATACTCACAGTGAGCTGGAGGTAGTACTGTTAAACCCCATTTACGGATGACGACACTGAGGCTCAGAGAGACTAAGCCCAAAGTCACATACCTAGTAAGTGGCAAAGCCAGACTGGAACCCAAGTCTTGTTCACCCCAAAGCCTGAACCCCTTGTCCCTTCCCTGGTCCTTGCTCTGACTTGGGGACCCCTCTCCCTGAGAGGTGCCCGCAGGGGTTATCCCCCAGAAAAACTGCTCCTCTCCAGGCTGGGCACGCCCAGCCTGCACCCAGAAGGCCCAGTCCTGGACCTCCCTTACTCCAGGGGCTCCACGGCTCTGGGCAGGGTCTTTGCTGTCCCATCCCCTCCCTCACCCAGGCCTCTGCTGCAAAGTTCATGGTCAGAGCCACTCCGCCGTTCTGCCCACCTGAGTGCCCATCGCTAACCGCTAGCCAAGGCCACCAGACTCACAGTTCTTCGCACCGGCAAACAGGGCCCCAGGCCTCTTTCTAGATTCTCTCCAAACCGTGGCCACCAACGGGGGAGAGAGGCATGATGGCTCTGATTGTCTCAATGACAGACAGGGAAACTGAGGCCCCAGAGTTCAAGTGACCTGTCCGAGAAGTGGATGGGGTGAAGGTGATCCCCTGAGCCTTCATCTGGGTCATTGGGGGTTTCAGCTCCCCTTACCCACACACTGTGCTGAGGTCCATGAGTTGAAGGCTCTGCCCTGGGGGGTTTGGCCAGAGCTGGATGAAGCTCTGCCCAGACAAGAGCTCTCTGGTCAGGCCCTAGACCTGGGCTCCCAGGCCCCCCAGGAGGACTGTCTGGCTGCAGCGTCAACTTGGCTGTCCCCTGCCTCCACCCTCAGTGAGTGTGTGCAGCATCAGGAGCCAGGGTGAGGCTAGAGGCCAGGCTTCCGGTCCTGGCTCTGCCGCTGTCCTGCTGCGTGATCTGAGACCAGCTACTGTCACCTCTGGTCTCAGTTTCCTCAAATGGAAAATGGCCTGATAGAGGGAGGCTGTGCCCCACCCAGGGCAGAGAGGAGGGTCAGTAGAGCATGATCGGTGGTGGACAGTGGGGTCTGGGATAAGGGAAATCATGAAACCATCAGATCACATCATTAAACCATCAAATCATCAAAAACATCATCAAAATCGTAAAAGCAGCTGTTGTTCCCGGGAGTGGAGGGGGATGTGCAGAAAGGTGGGCCCAAGTCAGGCAGCCCCACCTTCCCCCAGCCCGGAGCCTGCGGGTGGCCTGGGCAGGTGCTGAGGGTCGTCTCCTGCAGGACAGCCACTGTGTGGAAGACCCTGTGCCCCTTCTGGGGCGAGGAGTATCAGGTGTACCTGTCACCCACCTTCCACGCGGTGGCCTTCTACGTCATGGATGAGGATGCCCTCAGGTGGGTGGGCCCCCCGTCTTCAACTGGGGCCCGAGGACCCCGCCATCTGCCCCTCCCCGGCCCATTTCACTGCTGGGGCTGCTGGACACTTTGTATCCTCTTTGCAGCCTGGAGGGAGGGGGAGCCCAGGAGGGTCTGCAAGGGGGCAGGGTCTGAGCGAGCGGGTGTCTGTGTGTGGGGATTCACTGTGCTCACACTGCATCATGCATGCACGTGTGCGGGATACAGGCACAGCTGCGCTGGGCTGTGTGCAGGGATGTGAGCTAGGAAATGGACACCCAGAGAGCATGAGCTTGGCATGTGTTCAGGCACACCTGTTGGTCCATGTGCAGAAACACAACACATACCCACGAGGGTGTCTAGAATCCAGGGCCTACAGAAGGGTCATGGGTCCTGCTCCAATAGGCTCCTGTAAGTGACTGGAGCGTCAGCCTCCCTGCTCCCACAGGGACCCTGAACTGGGTGGGAGGGGGGGGGGTCCTGGGCTCCCTGCAGAGCCCTGCCCAGCTCTGGCTCCCTCTCCACCCTCCAGCCGGGATGATGTGATCGGAAAGGTCTGCCTTACTAGGGACACCCTGGCCGCTCACCCTAAGGGTAAGATTCCCCGGGGAGCCCATGGCCTGCTCCTGCTCCCCCTCCCCTGGCCTCCCTCCTGTCTCCCGTCCACTGTCTGCCCCGGCCCCAGCCCCGGCCCCCCCACCCCAATGACTGAGAGACCCTTCCTCTAGACTCCTTCAAGCCGCATGCTCAGGGAAAGCTATTTCTGCCTCCCCAGAAGGGTCTGTGGCCATCTCCTACACCCCAGCCTCTGTGCCCTGGGCCCCATTCTGCCCCTGAGTTGGGACCACATATCCCCTGAGGCCTCTGCAGGCAGAGGAAGGGGCCTCATTGTGCTCCATTGCTGAGGTGTAGGGACCCCCTCCTCCCACTTTGGCTGGCTCCTCTGTGCCCCGTGGGGTCCCCTCAGCCTGGACCCCAGTGCCACTCTGTCCTAAGTCTGAGACATCAGCCTGGACGATTCCTGGGATGCTGACATTGTTTTGAGGGGTCAGCCCTGCCCCAGCCTCGCTGTGTGACCTTGGGCAGGTGCTGCCTTCTCTGGGCTGAGTCACCATCTGCCAATGAAGGTTCAGATCAGGAGCTCTTAGGTGCTTCAGGCTCTGCCAGCCGGAGCCCCTGTGACTCCCCAGGGCCTCCCCGGCACGCACCCGCTCCTGTCTGTGAGGCTGGGGCAGGCGTGTGGGGCCGGGGGGACTTTGCTGACTCATGCAGCCTCTTGGCCCTGCAAGGCCAGAGGCCTCTCCTGCCTGCGGCCCCAAGGATGCCATTCCCCCATTGGTTCCCCATCTGGGCTTAGGCCTTCCTCCCAGCAGCCCTAGGTGAGAGCCACTCACCCCCTGTTTTAAGATGGGGAAACTGAGGACAGAGAGGGCATTTCCATGATGAATTACAGTCAGGGCCACCAAATGCAGTGTGGCACAATTGTAAGGACACGGGCATCACCGGACTTGGATTCTAATCCCAGCTCTTCCAGCTGCCGTTGCTCAGCTTCTGAGCCTCAGTTTCCCCATCTGTCACCAGGGTCAGCAGCCCCTGCCTCATAGGAGTTTGTGAGGATTCTAAGGGGATTATGGAGGGGCCCCGTGGCGCCTGGCGGGGCTGAGGGTGAGGGGCATGGAGGGGAAGGGCCAGGCCCCTGGCTGAGCTGCAGCCCCCGCAGGTTTCAGTGGGTGGGCCCACCTGACGGAGGTCGACCCTGATGAGGAGGTGCAGGGCGAGATCCACCTGCGGCTGGAGGTGGTGCGGGGGCCCCGGGCCTGCCGGCTGCGCTGCTCTGTGCTGGAGGCCAGGTGAGACGTGGGGGCTGGGGAGCTGGGCAGTGGGCCCCACGAAACTAGAGAAACCCACTGTGGGTGCTGGGCCTCGGGCGGATTGGGGAGGTTACCGTGACCCGGAGATGTTTCCTGGGTGACCCCCACTCAGGAGGAAGTGACCCTTAGGGGAAGGCATGATGTGCTAATGGCGGAACTTCAGACATCACAGTGTGGTGGGGGTAGCGGGGGCGGGGGGCCCTGAACTCTGATCATACGGCCCCAATGCCAAGACAGGGCTTTCCCAGGTTTAATGCCAATGGGACTTGGCCTTCGGTAGGGGGTGTCCTCGATGGGGTGGGGGTGAAAGGAGTTGCTGAAAATCTCCAGATGGGAGGGGTGGAGTTCTCCCCAGGAGGGACAGTGATTGGGATGGGAAGGTAGGTCTGAGTCACCTGTGACAGGGACACCCCACCCCCCCAGGGTACTTTTAGCAGAAGGCTCCACTCGTCTGAGCCTGAGTGTGAGTCACACACTCCGAGAGAAGCGCCTTCCTTTCTGCCTGCAGCCCACCTCCATGGGGTCCTTGCTGCCTCTGGGGCGGGAGGGCGGCCCCTGCCTCCGCCTGCCACCCGTGGAGGGGCGCCAGCCAGCCGCACCTGTGGAGGAGCGTGCCCCACCCATGGGGTGGTCGGCCTCTCTGGGAGGAAGCTCTCTCTCCTGCAAACCAAGACTGTGGCTCCCCCGGCTTTCTTTTCTGTCCTGGGGCTGGAATGGGAAGAGGCACAGCCAGATGGAACCTGGTTGGACTTGGGCAAAGTCATGGTCACGCTCATTCTCTCTCATGCGCATAGCCCTGCTCGCCCACCTCCTCCTTCCCCAGCCTCTCCCGGCACAGGCTCTGTGGCACAAGTACACACGCTCACACGCCACCAAGATTGTTGGGGACGCGATGGCTGGGCCAGCCTGGCCTCCTCTCAGCAAGCCCCTGGTGGGGGATGGTCTGCCAGGCCTCTCTTTAGAGCGAGAGGGGACGTGTCCCCTGCTGTCCCCAGCAGGAATTCTGAGACAGCCTAAGAAGCCGCCTTTGCTGTAGAGGTGGAAAGAACACTTTCTCCTCATCCTTCTGGGCAGATTCTCAAGGCCACGCTCTGGAATTCTATTAGACAGTTCTCAGGAGGAAACAAAAGCAGGCATGAGAGGCTTAAAACTTAAAGTGTGGAAAAGAGCAGAAAATAATATTTATGGCAAATGGAAGAGAGCTGGGCTCTGTCGTTCTTCCAGAAAGGATTCTGAGCTGGTGGTGCCATGACCGGATTTAGGCTTTGTAAAGGCCCAGCTGTGGCGAGAGGGCAGGATGATGGATCGGGGCTACTCACCAAGACCCCTCTCAAGTAGCGGGATATTGTGGGGTCAGGCCTTCTAGAAGCCCATTATCTCAATTACAGGGATTCTGTTCTTCACTTTACTGATGAGGAAACCGAGGCTCAGAGAAGTGGCCCCTGCTCAGGGCTGCCCTGAGCACAGAGGGCCAGGTGGGGGCCACGGCCCCGGCTGCCCCATGGCTGCCTCCCCCACCCCCAGACAAGGTGCAGCAGCTGCTCTGCAGCTGGCAAGTCAGCTGGAGCTGTGGCCTCCACTTTGGGGGATCCTTAGCCTGGTCTGGGGGCCACATGGGGGCCCATGGGGTGAAAGCTATGGGAATCAGGGTCCAGGAAAGGGAGGGGTGTTGTCCATGGTCACCCAGCTTCCCAGGGCCAGGATGAGCCCAGGCCTTTCCAGCCTGGTGTGGTTACCCCACAGTGGTGGGGTGACAGCCTGGGGGGGCTCGGTGACAAGTGGATGCTCTGCTTACCCCCAGGGACCTAGCCCCCAAGGACCGGAATGGTGCATCTGACCCCTTTGTCCGAGTGCGCTACAACGGCCGGATGCAGGAGACCTCGGTGAGGAGGCTGGTGGGCTGGGGAGGGGCTGGGAGGCTCAGGGAGGTCAGGCTGGGACCGCTGTCTTACAGAGGAGGCTCCGAAAAGCGGGAGACCTCTCTGAGGATGCATAGCAGGTCCTAGGCTTCTGGCACCAACCGCTATGGCCTTAGCTGGTGAGGTCCAACAGCTGCCCACGCTGCTTTCCTCACCTCTGGGAAACAGCCGGGGTGAGGGCTCAGCCCTGGGTGAGAGGGCATTGAGACCCGGGTTCTCAGTACGACCTGCTACCTTTTTGCTGTGTGGCCTGGGACAAGTGCCTTACCCACTCTGGCCCTCAATTTCCCCACTTGAGAAATGAGTAGGGGATTTGGACAGGAAGCTTTTAGTTCTGCTATTGCAGGGCCTCCGCCTGGACCCAGGAGAGGAAGCTGAATCAGGGCCCCTGCAGGGAACCCAAGGGAGGTGTGGGTGGCTCTGCCCTTGGCGGAGCCTGGGGAGCCCCGTGGAGTCAGCTTACCCCGTCCTGGGCAGGTCGTGAAGAAATCATGCTACCCACGCTGGAACGAGACATTCGAGTTTGAGCTGGAGGAGGGGGCCACGGAGGCACTGTGCGTGGAGGTCTGGGACTGGGACCTCGTCAGCCGCAACGACTTCCTGGGCAAAGTGAGCACCCTGCCCCTTCAGGCTGCACCTGCCACCTTCAGCACCTGGCCTTCATTCTAGTCATCCTGTCCCACCAGCTGCCCCAGAGCTGGGCACTCAGGAGGCCTGGGACTGCCCAGAACCAGCCGCTGGTGCTCAGGGCCCCTCGGAAGGTACCCCCTCCAAAAGCACAGTAGTTGGCAAGGAAGAGACCGAGGGTCCCAGCCTCAGCATGGCCCCCCCACCTCTGCCCTGCCCCTAGGTGGTGTTCAATGTCCAGAGACTGTGGGTGGCCCAGCAGGAAGAGGGCTGGTTCCGGCTGCAGCCCGACCAGTCCAAGAGTCGGCGGGAAGAGTGAGTGCTTGGGGCTCGGTGGCAGGGCTGGCAGGCTGGTGGCTCTGGGCCCGGGGAGGTTGAGTTGGCTGCAGCAGGCGGGCAGGCAGGTGGGCTGTCAGGGGTGGATGATCCAGCTCCACCAGGTCAGGATGCTTCTCCATCCCGGCTGGAGCCTGCCTCCTCTCTCTTCTCCCACTGCTGGATTCAGCCCTGTCCTCTGATTTCCAAAGCAGTACAGGTCTCCTGATTTCTGCCTTCTGGCAGATTCTGGAATAAGCCGTCAGACCCTTCCTTTCACTTTAAGGGTTTCTCTGCAGACTTCAGACCAGAGTTCAAGTCCCAAAGCTCTGAGTCAGTGTCCCTGCACCACACTCCAACTCTCCCCCAAATTTTCCAGGAATTTCGTTGCCAGATAAAATGCAGGAAGTCCAGTTAAAGCTGAGTTTCAGATAAACAATGAGTAATTTTTTGGTATAAGTATGTCCATGCAATATTTGAGACAAATGTATGTTACAGATATTCAAATTTAACTGGGTGTCTTGTATTTTTATGTTGGTAAATCTGGCAGTTCTATCAAGGAAGCCCTCTGGCGTCCTTGCCACCATTCAACCCGGAAGTGGGGGCTCAGCAGTGCCCACCACCTCGGATGGTTCAGCTCTGTCTCTCTGTAGAACGCCCCAGACCCCCATCGCCACCTTCCGTGAGCGGGGACAGGGCAGATGGCTGTGTCCCGCACCAAGACCTTTCCGTCCGGCCTTTACCGCGTGTGAGACGGTGCGCTGAGCAGCATCCCTTAGTGAACTGTGCTGTGCTACGGGCAGCGGGGGCCTTAGAGACTGTTAAGCCTTGGTTCACGCCCTCACCAGGACAGGTTAGAGCAGAGGAGCTTGGAAGTTAGATGTAATGTGGCATGTGGTTTAACCTGCTCAAGCCTCAGTTTCCCCCGGCAGGTTGTTATGAGGGTAAGGGATTTGCTTCCAGTGTAAAATGTATACATCAGGGAGGCTGGAGAGCCCAGCATGTCCACATGGGTCAAGCTCGGAGTCTACGGGGGTCTAGAGGTGGCAGGGAGCCAGGCCCTGAAGATAGGTGGGGTTTCCATGAGTATGGAGGCAGGAAGTCCTTCCAAACAGAGAAAACAGCTTGGGCAAAGGATGGGAGTTGGGCAGTGCGAGGAACCGAGGTGGAGGGTATGAGCGGAGAGGCTGTGAGGCTGGCGCCAAGGGGGGACGAGAGAGACGGTGGGGCAGGGGCACGGCTCAGGGCGTCCTTGGTCCGTGGTGGAGAGGTCACAGGCTGCCTGTTCCAGGGACAACCTGGGCTCCTTGCAGCTGGAGGTGCGGCTGCGGGACGAGACGGTGCTGCCCTCTGGCTGCTACCAGCCCCTGGTACAGCTGCTGTGCCATGAGGTGAAGCTGGGTATCCAGGTGAGGGGGCCCCAAGGGAAGGTGGGAGGGTCCAGGGACTGTAGGCCTGTCCTTCTAAGCTCACTCTGAAGAGCAAAAACCAAGAGCTCAGGATGATGCTGAACTAGCCAGTGCCCAGGGCCCTCGCCATCCCTAGGAAAGCACCCCCTTTCCCCGGGTCCTCTGAGGTCCTCAGAGGGAAGGGTTTGGGCTCCCTGGTGTCCTCCAGCCCTGCCTCTCCTTGCTGCCTCCTGCAGGGCCCAGGGCAGCTGATCCCTCTCATTGAGGAGATGACGAGCACCGAGTGCCGCCAGGACGTGGCCACCAGCCTGCTCAAGCTCTTCCTGGGGCAGGGGCTGGCCAAGGACTTTCTGGACCTGCTCTTCCAGCTGGAGCTGGGTCGCACCAGTGAGGCTTGGGGAGAGGGGAACCTGGAGCCAAGGACTCCAGAGATGCTGGGAGGGACGAAATCTGGGAAGTCCTCCTGTAGGAGGCTGATGGGCCAAATTAGGGGCAAAGGGAAAGAGCAGAAGGCAGAGATGCGGCAGTGGGTTGGGCCATCTTAGAACCCCCCAGACCCGAGGTCCTCTGTCCTCCTCCACAAAGCCTTGTGCTTCTCTCAGTCGCCTACCCACTGGAACCTCTGCTTGTAGGTGAGGCCAACACTCTGTTCCGGAGCAACTCTCTGGCCTCCAAGTCCATGGAGTCTTTTCTGAAGGTGAGGTTGCATGATATATTCTTCTTGTTTTGTAGGTGAGGAGACTGAGGTTCAGAGAGGCCAAGACACCGAGTTGGAACTTAAATTCAAATCTTCTGTCTCCTTGTCCAGGGCTCTTTAAGGCTAAGAATTTCATTTATTCATGCCTGCCTGCATGCATTCCTTCTTTCATTCATTCATGTAGCAGCAGTTTGTTGAGCTGCCCTCCTTGTGTGTCTGGCCCCTCCTGGGTGGATATAGCAGGCAGGTGGTGTAGGGGTGGCTGGGAGGCCGGCTGGGGAGATGGCGGGCAGCTGGAGCTGCGAGACAGGACCAGTGTGGCTCAGTGTGGCTCGCGGTGGCCCGCAGGTGGCTGGGATGCACTATTTGCACGGTGTCCTGGGCCCCATCGTCAATAGGGTGTTTGAGGAGAAGAAGTACGTGGAGCTGGACCCCAGCAAGGTGGAGGTCAAGGATGTAGGGTGAGGCCGGGGGTGATCCGTGGGGGTGCCAGGGAGTGGGGGGTCAGGCGCTGCCTGCAAATGTGTGTTTATGGCTCCTTCTGCCTGGGTCTGCCCTTCCTCACTCTGCCCACGTGTGTGTTGTCTCTGGGTCCTGTCTCGGCGGATGCCTTTCTGTGCCTGTGTCTCTGGCAGCCCCTGTCCGAGTCATGTGTGCGGGCGCTGACGGCGACCCTCTCTGCGGGTCCGTCCCGGGCCCACGCAGATGCTCCGGGCTGCACCGCCCGCAGACCGAGGCCGATGTGCTGGAGCAGAGCGCGCAGACGCTGCGCGCCCACCTGGGGGCGCTGCTGAGCGCGCTCAGCCGCTCGGTTCGCGCCTGCCCCGCCGTGGTCCGCGCCACCTTCCGCCAGCTCTTCCGGCGTGTGCGCGAGCGCTTCCCCGGCGCCCAGCACGAGGTGCGCCCCTGTCTGCGGGGCTGGGCGGGGCGGAGGGGAGAAAGCGGTGGGGAAAAGGAGAGCAGTGGGGCCCCGGGGCAAGATGGGGAGGATGGGGGGTTACATACAGGCCGAGCGCCGGGCCAGTCCCAAGGCGGGGAGAGGGGCAGGGTCATGGGGAGAGGTGAGGACAGCGCCAAGGGGGAGGGGGCTGTCAGTGGCCCAGGCCTAGGGGAGTCCAGCCCCCGGCTGTCCCGCGTCCTTCCAGAACTTGCCGTTCATCGCCGTCACCAGCTTCCTGTGCCTGCGCTTCTTCTCTCCCGCCATCATGGCACCCAAGCTCTTCCACCTGCGGGAGCGGCACGCGGACGCCCGCACCAGCCGCACCCTCCTCCTGCTGGCCAAGGTGCGGGCCTGTGCACACGGTGGGGTGCCCAGCTGGGTGCCGAACAGGGGTCATTGCCTGGGCTGCAGCGTGTTCGCACCTGGCTCCGGGGAGGCCTTGTGGCGAGGCCACTGATACTGTCCCGTGGCACTGCACTTACAGTGTACAAAGCCTTCTCAAGGTCACCCAGTGTCATGGATAAGGGAAGAGGTCCGCCAGGGGAGGAGGTTGCCCAAGGCGGCACAGCCTGGCAGTGGTGAATCGCGGCCTTCTAACCCTCAGATCTACTCATTCCCCAGTTGCCTGTCAGCTTGGCACCGGGCTGGGGCAGGGGACACCCAGTGGAGCAGAGTCGGACATTAAACCTGCAGAGGAAGGTCAATAGGTTGGGCACAAGTAGTCTCAACTAGTAGGTGCCCAAATGCCTCAGACTCTGGGAGCTGTTCACTCCTGATTCCTAGTGAGGATGGAGTGGGCCCGTGAGCAGAGCCTGTGTCGCGTCTGCCTCCATTTCTACAGCAGGAGTAGCACAGACATGGTTGCCGGGGACGGGGGTGGCGGGGG